AGATGTTTCAAACTTGTAGACGTTCACGATTTACTTCATGGAGGAGGAACGGCACAGTGGGTGAATCGAGTTCCTCCGATCGCAATAGCAGTAAAACACAGGAGTCAGGACAGATTGGAATTGCACTGTAATCATTGAAACACGGAAAAAAGAATTTGCGAAGGGGCACAGCGCATCCCGAGCTCTACAATCATTCCACATGATTGTCAACAGCGGTAGTTTCTGTTTCTGTTGTATGACCAGTCCGGTTGCGCATTAAGTGCATTTGTTTAGATAAAAGTCTTTCCAAAGTCCTTGAAAAAATCGTTACCTACAAGGTATTGCTCATTTTCGGTTTCATAACGACTCTGGTGAAGACCTGGAATGTTTGTGCTTAAATAGAATAGGAAATTCCAGCGCTGCTGGTGGTGGAGAGCAGGAAAGCAACTGAGCACCAAGCAGTGCAAACCGATTCACAAAGGCAAGTGACAGCATCCACCAACCTCCTTTATATGCAAGGATGAAGTCGTTCGTTGCCTTGATTTGTTGCAAACCATTAACGCAACCAGTGATCGGTGAGAGATCGAGTTAGAAAAGTAAAAATGTTCGTTTTATCCATACTACTGTTACTACTATTAGTAATGGTAGCCTACCGTTATCAATGTGAATTGAACCTTTTCGGACTCAAATGAGTGTTAAATACAAAACAATACCTCCTCCGAAACATAAAATCCGGAGTTACGTGCAACGTGGAACATAACCTTATTACGTGTTTGTTTAAAACAAACCAAGCAAATCATCCGAATGCGAGTGGGAAATCAATAAAGCGACCAATCCGAGTGGTTAGAATGAAAAACTACATTCAATTAATCTTGCCCACCCAGTGATTAGTTTCTCCCCGTTCAGATTGGTTTCCACTGCACTTTTTGTTATCCCACTCGCTGCATCCGACAACCGGTTAGCAGACTGCGTTTATCAACGTTACTCGTTGGCGGTTTATTTTGGCGCGACATATAACTTCAACCAGCATTCTGAGTAATTCCGTCCACCGCCCTCCTCCTCCCAGCCGCCGCACTAGATTTAGATCGATCGTTCCTTCGGAATAAGAGTAAGAGTACCGTGGAACACAACTGGATACCGAACGAAAATATTCACCGATTAAAACTTCTTTCAGAACTATGTCCTTTTATTAGTAATAATGATAATAATAATATTTGCCCTTATTGAGTACCTAACATTCGGTTTTGATGACCAAATCCGTGAGATCTATTGTGTTTGACTCACCAGTCGGGAGGAATGGTTTGCTATTCTTTGCACTTCAGCTAAAGTAACATCCACATTGCCTGAACGGTATCACCAAGATGATCCAAAAATGAACCGGTACGAAGTTCGGTGGTTTGCTTTACAAACAACGGATTGTTCCTGACAGTAGCAGTAGTAATGGTGGCATAGCTATACATTCTGATGCTCAGCTAACATCAGGTGATCGACCGTGTTGTCAGTCTTTATTTTTTATTATTTATATTTCATACTTGTGATACTTATGATACAATAATCTTCATAAAAAGAAAAACTTTGGCTTGTGGGCTGATTACTACCAGGTTTCCCAAGCCAAGGCAGGTGAATTTTCTTGAGAAATCCATAACCGGATCCTCCGGCTAGTCAAAGCTTGTCCCGCAAGGCAGCGGCGCGGTGTGCAAAATCCGCAATCCATTGGGGGCCGGTGTCCAGTTCATCGGATCATACTCCCTTTGGACGGGGTTATACGTCCAGTGTGCCCAATACCCCTCAATGCCCAGTCGAGTCGGTGACCACTGCCACAATTGAGAAGGTGTGGGTGTGGTTCGTACCTTTCCTTCTGGTTGGTTTGGAATCAGGGTTTTTGGTGAATTCCCCTAGGTGAACTACCAGTGGTCCACCAACTCGGATGTCGGTTTTTCGTTCTCTCACTTTGGTGGAAAACACGTCCGCCACGAGAAGGCATTCAGTAGGGCTTCCTCAGCAGAGGTTATTCGAGACGCTCAGTCGTAACCCACCAATACAGATCAGTTGGTGTGAAACATACTCAAAAGCGTTTAAACATTCGCAGTCGTACTGTTGAATGACTTGTCCAGATATCCAGATGGGGCCAGTAAAATTCAGTTGATGATCGACCGCAATCCAATACTAAACGGGAAAAACTTAGGGAAGTAAAGGCATTCTTCAAATGTGGATAGTTCAGATTTACCTGAATAATAAGACAAAATAATAGCGGAATTTCTACGAAAAAAATTAGACAAACATTTTACATATAAAACACCGCTCTTCCGTACGTGAGTGTCCGCGCGTATAAAATAGAATCAAGGAACACATTTAAACTCGTAAACATTTTGTCCAACGATAAGCAACTGAATGTAGGTTGGCGTTGTATTTGTTGTGTTTGTTCTCTAGACCTACCCAAGGCTTGCGTTCCAGATAAAAAAAATCTGAAGAAAAGGGTACAAGAGAAAGAATTGAAAAGTTAAAAACTACTGCCCATATGCTCACATTCCTTTGCCTAGCATTTTAAATCGGATAATATTTACACTTTCTTGGACTTAACTTGCAATAAAAAAACTGATACAAGTATCTTTGAAATGAGGAAATCGATCCGTGTTTGTTTGCCTCTAGAAAAACATACTACTAGGTAACTTGAATCAAAGTACGTAATTGCTTTTGTAGGGGGTGGGTGGGAGAGGATTCACAACTGGAACCTTTCGGTTGTCACAATTAGCTCGCAACGCGGCAGATTTTGGGGACAAAATGGCAGTTAGTGTAGCACCGGCATCAAATCAATCAAATTGCAGACCATTCAAACGTACCTCATCACGTCCCGAGTTTCTAGCGAAACTCAACTCCGAACCACAACATTAGTCATCATATTGTCGTTGTCCGAAAGACAGTTATTGCGCCTCTAATCGGAAGATTGCATATGAATTACAACTGTTGGAACGCGGCCAGCTCTCCATGTCTAATCAATTTGGCAATAGGTTCATAGGCTAGAGTTTGCTCCCTTTCTTTAATGAAAATACTACCACTGTAGGGGGACAATGAGTGGGTGTCCACAATAGACAAGAGTAGTTCTTCGGATGAGAACAAGGCATCGTTCAAAGAAGCCTTCTGAGGGCTTTATGTGTAGAGCAGTCAATTTTGACCGTGACCAACAAACGTTCCCGGACAGGATATGATATCCATGCCTCCTCAATCCATTTAAAAGTTGAGTGCATTCAATCTTCGCCCCAGAAAACCAAATCGGATAGTAAGGGTCCAAAACAATCATTAGTTCATNTTCTCCCGCTCTTGATGAGCCAAGTTGTTGGTTTCTTTGGACCGGGGAAGATGGCTTTAAGTGGAGTGATCGTTTTTCATCGTTCGACTCCAATTTATCAGTTCATCCTATATCAGTGGTCCCTAAACCCCTCCGAAGCGCATGTAACGAGCAACTAAATCCCCTCCACCCAGGATCCGTTCACATGTTCACAGTCGTATTCATCAGATTCGAGCTGCATCTGATTTGTCTTGATTTGACATAGCATTTTGGTGAGCCTGGCACACGTTGAGCGAAATGGCCGTCACCGAATACTCTGTTTCGAACGCCTATCGAAAGTTGACGGCTTGCATCAGAAGTGAAACACAACCAAAGTGTGCATATAGCTGCAAATCAAATGTGGCTTAGATCATCCCTGTCTCATTGGGACAGTCTGTCGTGCACCAAAGTAGAAAAAACAAACAGAAAACCTTTATCAGTACCATATACAATACGGGATTATTTGTATTCGGTGATAAAATAGCATTGATTTCAAAGTGAAACAAAAGACAAAGGTCTAACGTGTTTTTTTTGTTTTTTAGGCAACTTCAATTGTTTTGCATTAGTCCCATTGTACCTGTGTTTGGAGTCACGTGCTTGAAACTGTCTTGAAAGGAACTCATTCGTATTCTCGTGTCCCTCATTGTTTTCCAGCACACAATTGAAAGTACTCTCACAATAGTAAGTCAGATGTGTTTTGTTTTCAATCGCCTGCGTGGGTAGATGTTGTATTCCATTTATCATGTTTCCGTCACAGGATGAGTAGATATTTCGGCACAGTTAACTAACCATGTTTCGAAACATTTATCCGTAGGTGTTCTTTGTCGCAGTTAAATAAAATATTCGCAAAAATCAGAAACTTAAAGGAGCAACGGCTTTTATATTATTTGAGAATTGTGAAGTATGTCCATTGAGCTAAGGACCGTGTCCGTACCACACACATACGGAACCCGCCTATTCGTGCTATTCGTGCCTTTTTTCCCGCATGCTTGCGCCAAAATGCGATGTAGTATTCTGGGTAGGAGTTTCGCTATCGCTCTGGCAGGCAGTGTGTGTGTGGGGGGGGGGTTGGTTCTGTCACCTGATTGGATGCCCAACACGTAATCCGGGTCCTGTCAGTGAACGTGGACTGACATACACGCGCGCACGCGGCAGTAGATGACACGTACGAATAGACATACCGGGCCAGGGACATTAAAACGTACAAATAATTATCCACACCCGGGCCATCGATCGCGCACGTCTATCGAGGCCAGTAAACGAGCAGGTAGACAGGAGCTGCATCAACCAATCAGTTGTGGCTGACCTCAAACAGCTTAATAGGTAAACCCCGGGGAACGGTATCTCCATTCCAGTCAATACTAGGGCCTGGTTAAAAAGGTGGAACAAATTCGGTTGATCGCCCCGCAAAGGGAAACTTTTATCTTGTCATAACATATACATATATATATATATCTATATGTGTATATATCACGGTAATGTGATGCCATTGTGGCATTGTGTCCGAGTGTCAGTTGTGTTGTGAGCAATTTGTTTGGCATGTTCGCGACTGAAGCTATGCCTCGGTCAAATTAAAAGCGGCAATTCATGTGACGCATTTATTTGCAAAAACCGTACCAACGCGGACTAATTTTGGTGAGGCTCGTGTGCGTGTGTGTGTGTGTGCGCGCGCGCGCGCGCAAGTGTGTCAGTGGCAATGTGGACTAGCTGTTGTTTTGTAAATAAAAGACGATCCGGACGTGTGAAAACATCGATACAGTCGATCAATATTACAAAACACGGGGCACATCCGACGGGAAAGTCGAGCTCGAATGAATTGTCCGAGAAACCCCTTATTGATGCGACCGCGAACGGATATCAGTTGAGCCATGAACGCCGTAGTCTGCCAGATGTGGTAATCACCTCGGCATCCATGGCACCAACGAAAGCATTGCCCATGACACGGCCTAGCCTTCAGTTAGATCGAGAAACCGGTCGACGACCCACATTGGACGTGGAAACTACCGCACGTTTGGCCGAGGCCGAAAGTATCGGGTTCGAAGACCTGGCCGGAACAGATGCACCTGGAACGAAAACCAGTTATCGTTCGAAAAGCTTAGGTTCCACACAGTTGACAAAACAAATGGGGGGAATGTACAAACCTATTGCTCAGTCCAGAGCATCAACTAGTAATGCAACTCAAACGGATGATGTACTATGCATGGATAAAGTCTCCAAAAAGGCTAACTTGATGCGCTTGGCCACTCTGAAAGGGTTCCAAAAGCATTTGAGAAAATTGAGCACACTTAGACATAGTCATACTCCGGATGCTGGATCAAAGGTGGATGCCGAATTACGTCAGAACACATCCAGTCGTGCATCCAAAGATTCGCGAATAGTCGAAGAGAACGATGACTCGTCCGAGCAGGCATCGGTTGGTGACTGTCTCGGTCAGTTACCACCGAAATCACTGACCCGCGGAAATCGTTTCATTCGGTACAGTGTGAGTGAAGGCTCTCATAAATCTGCTGTTGTAAACGAAAGTTCAAACTATACTGCTGCAGCACCACGACCCGGAGGAATAAGACGGGGTTCTTTGTGCATTTTCAGTCAGGTGGACGAACCAATTGTCACTCCGTTCGCTCAAATCCTGGCCAGTCTACGGCGAGTACGGGCGAATTTTATCCTGCTCACAAATGTGTCCAGTTTACGAGAGTAAGTTCACTATTTCTTTCCTTTTTTTCTAATCTGCTTGTGTGAATTCCTATTTGATTAATCCCCAGGCTTTTACTCTGTGGATTTGACGTTCTGATATCAATGAATATTTAGTGTATAACAAATAAGCACGAAAGGGTGCGTCGAAGGAACCCGGCACCATACAGAAACGCAGTGGACTGTGCTGCACATATGATGCCTCATAGCGTCCGATCACGAGACACTATGCTTGTCAGATTAGGGTTCATTATGTGGCCTCTCATAGCAGACCGTTCAGATAAAAACCTGTACAGCGCAGTCGCGTGGGTACTTGCGTGTTTGGCAATACATGAAACAGATCTATTTTAGCCTAACTTGAAAAGAGAGCGAGAAAATGTTCAAAGTTTTATAACTTACAAGCTCCTGCCTTTCTCGTCCCATAGGTTCGGGTTGTGGTTAAAAAATATCAGTGATACATACAATTCCCTGTGTGTGTAAAGTGTCACATGATACGGGCTTCTTGCACTGCTGCACGCAGCTTCACTTGTATTGGAATGTAAGTTGTACTAAGTCTCAGTTTGAAAGATTAGATGCTTGGCGGGGAGGAAGAGAGTTCCAGATCGAACACACTCTTGCCGCGGTTAACTGACGCCTGGATTCCAATCGTCATTTTGAAACCACCAGTTTGAACGGTTGTCCTCTGAGATGAACGATGAGTTTCATCCGGGCAAATCTCTTAGTTCCAATTGGTTTTTTTATAGTTATTTTATAGACCGATCATGGGGCTCCACATTTCATTTGTTCATCATCACTACATTTATTTCATAGAGCTAGACCACTGTGTGAGTTTATTTTATTTTGCTTCTAAAAAAGCTGCTCCATCAAAGGAATACGGAAGAAAACCTGAGAACGAACTGGATGGATTGAACCCTGTGAACCGTATAGTTATTTCTCCAACTCCCGCTCAGATATCACCCCTTTATAAAATAGGCTCAAAATTTATCCCGGTCTATTTTAGGCCTATTCAAACGCCCAGTCTACATTCCGGTACCCCACTCAAACATATGTGAGTGATCTGATAGGGGAAATTGCGAACCACCTGATGCTCACACCCGTGCATGTGATTAGTAGGTTTATAATCTGAACATCTATCTATCCGTTATAGAACAAACGAATCACCAACAAAATCAATGTTATTGAAATAATTCCACAGAGCACATTTCAAACAAAACAACAGAGTGGCGAACAAGCTTGTTTTCAGAGATTCGTATTCATGCCAATACATCTCAATATATATCAGTACTTGGGAATAAAATTGTCATGGGAAAATAAAAATAGATTACTAAAAAAATGATTTCATCGTGAGACCGGAAATCGGGTTCACCACAATCACCTGTTTGTTTGTCCGCTCATCCGATCATCGAGATTGCTCACGATGCGGTTTGTATGGGAGGTGGGCCAGGGAAGCTTTAGCGCTTGCACAAATTGTTTTTGGGCATACAAAGGGGCGTTGTGCAGACGAATGCCTACCGCTTCTGCCGTAGTCAACGTCCGACAGCGAACCTGCCTCGATAATCACCCGCGAACTTTGTACAGGGGTCGGAAAGCCTCGCACACGTTCACGGTATGATTTGTTTCAGCTAGGTGTGAAATCCCCGCACTGGTGAGTGACTTAATCGTTCCGGTGTTCAGCCACTCCGGGTGGTGTTCACGAATCCGTTCAGACAAAAGCCTGACCGTGCGGCCTATGTACGTTGTTCCACAGGAACAAGTAAATGAGTATACACAGAGTGAGAGCACAGAGTCTGGAACTTTGTCCTTCAGTCGCAAATACACAATTGGCTTGGACGTGAACGACACACGAAGCTTAGATGCATAGAACGTCTTATCGGTTGCGTCAGATAATCTTCTTTGTATGACCTCGGCTGATGTGTCCCCTTTGAACGGTAAAGAAATGTACACAGATTTTTTCTTAACCTCGGTGTTTTGTAGAGTTTTCCGTGCACTGAATCATCTTGTTGACTAAACGCTCCGGATATCCGTTACGTGCAAAGATCCATTTTACAGTACGGAGCTCTTCTTCTAGCGTTTCCTCACTGCAGATCTTTCTTGCCCTATTCGCTAGACAGCGAACCAGGTTCCTTTTCATCTTCAGTGGCACAACGCTTCGGAAATGAATGTCTGAATGAATGGTCTTTCCACGTTGCCGTTCTATGCACGGAACGCTGCACTGAACCATCTGCTCGACGGGTGATGCAGGCATCTAGAAACGGCAATTTGTTGTTATACTCCATTTCTAAAGTAAATGTTATGTTGGGATGCGCATTGTTGAACCTGTTTAATAGTTCCGTTGTATTTGATCTTGCACGGATCACACAATAAATGTCACCTACGTACCGTGTGTACAGTACACAGTCTTCGATGGATGACTGTAATTCAGTGTTTTCAAGCTTCGCCATGAATAAATCCACGAAACGCAGTCCCAGCAGAGATCCCATAGCTACGCCATCCTTTTATCGATAGATCTCATCGTTAAACTTGAAATGAATATTATACGTGCAGAAATAAAGCATTTGTTTAAAGTCATCCAAAGGGAGGCCGAGCTCTACATTATTGGTTTGTAAATAACTGCATAGGTATTCAATCGTTTCGCTGATGGGAACATTTATGAACAACGAGCTGACGTCCAGCGAGAGCATTGTTCGATCGACCAAGTTTATGTCACGAATTTCGTCCACAAAAGTAAATGTATCTTTGATACCGTGTTTTTTTAAACTAACTCGAACGGGTTCTAACAATTTGGCCAACCGCTTTGTCAAGGCATGGTGAGTTGCACACATCCAAAATCGGTCGTAATGGCACTCCATCTTTGTGTACTTTTGGCAATCCATACAACCTCGGAATAACAGTCCCGGTTGGCCTAATACGTTCGAAAAGGGATAAATCAATGACTCCTCTCTGCTTTAAGCATCGCAAAATCTTGGAAAGCGCCCCTTCTGTTTGAGCCGTCTTATCCTTTTCCGTCAACTTGGTGAATTTCGACCGATCACCCAATACGGTATTCGTCTTGTCTATGTAGTCCGTTCGATTTAGCAGTACGATCCCCGTCCCTTTATCCGGTCTGGATAGTATAACATCTTTATTTTTCTGAAGTTCTCGTAATCGTCTTATGTGTTATGTAGTTACTAATTCATTTCTATTTGATATTGTGATGCTGGTAGCAAGCACTCAATAAAGTGGATTTGAGCATTTCCAACTCTAACGATGAAGAAGGAACCAGGTCAAAACGTTGCGCATATAAGTTTTCAAATTCCACTTCCATATCCAATTGGTTTGATCTCCTATTCGGACAACAAAACTTTGGTCCCAGAGATAACACTTCTAACAGCATTTTGTCCAAATTTGTGTTTGATAGATTGTGAACATAGTGTTCTGGATTGGTAGGGAACTCACCCACTGGCTTGATAGGATTAAGTGGCAGACGCAAAGTGTTTCGGCTTCGTTCCACCTGTTTGGGAACAATAGACTGCGCATAATCCTCAAATTGTTGCCTTTCAGTCGGGGAGAGATTATTCAACACACGCTCAGATGTTACACAATTGTGATGATTACACAGAGTATCCCGCTCATTGAGAGCTTGACGTCTTAGAGTCACACTAGTAATGTTCACATGGTTTCTCCTCAAAACTGTCCAATAATGTTTTGGATATTCCGGATTGGTAACAAAATCGTCAATAAACTGAATTCGATGAACTCAATGTTCTTCCGGATCACCCAACTGACAATTAAAATATGAAAAGATGTGGGGAAAGAATTCGTGGCGCTTTGTTTGATGGATCATTTGCTCCCCCCTTCCCAGGGTTGCGAGAATCACTTCAAAATTTGGTCCTTTTCCACTACGATACTGTATGTTCTCAGCCCACAGAATGAGAGGCATAAAATCAATGAACTTCTTGGTCGATTTCTCTATTCAAGTGCCAGAAATGTTTTCTTTTTACCTCACAACAGACATGCATGGATGTGACGTGGACAGATGCAGGTTGAGTTGACCATAGAACCAAACGACTTCCGGTTGAAAAGAACTCAAACAATGCATGTAGGCAAACACTCGGCGACTACGCGGATCACGATGCTTAATTAACCTGACGTGATAGCTGCTGTCCTGTGTGGTTTTGCGTTTGTGCATGGCGTCGGGTGTAAACGGAAACCTTTGCAACAATACCCAGATGAGATAGTTCATGCAATCAACTTATGTTAGAAAACTGCTCTCTTCATTAAACTGGTGTAAAGCAAACCTGAAAGGGCTCAGTTGATTTTCCGGTTTATCTAGAATTATCGAAATTGGGAGAAAACGATTGTCCTTTGTAATTAGAAGGATCCAGACGGTTGCCCGCAGTAGAGAGAGGCTTTGACATCCAAACTAATGGTTGCCACTAGTAGCGATTTCTCACCTATGGGATCTGAATTAAACCGAACCGATTCGTGTGCGTGTGTGTGACTACATAAGTAACTACCTCATAGTCGCTTGTCCATACACCGAAACCATAAATCCAATAAACAAGTGCGGTTTGTAAAACAAATATGAACCAAATGCTTATTTGGATACAAATGACAAAACTAACGATAAAGCTACAATGAGTATTATTTTTTCATTTTTCAGGTACTGGAAAAAATGGAAATGCATAAAACCTGCTAAGGGTCTCAAAAAGTGAATGCTCCCGGGCTTTAAGTGGCAACCGAGAATTTTAGACAGTGTACCGAAGATAGACCCCCATCACCCTAAAAACTAAATAAACGGACCGGCATCTGTGTTGTCATGACATATCAGGGGAGCCAATAGTTACCAGTTTTAAACTGGGGATAAAATCAATCTAATATAGGCAGAACGTAATTTTGTCTAACCGAAATAGTGTAACGGAGAACTCCATCCAGATTAGTGAAAATTGTAAACGATTTCCCACTGGGCAATCACTGGTGCATATCACCTCATGTTGAATTGAACATTCCGTGTTCGAATTCATACAT